CCGAAGGGTTATCAATATTTGATCCACGGGCTGCAAAGATCTATTTCTTTTCGTCAATGGTTTTATCGTGCTGCCGAATACAGAATCCAAATACAACACTGTTTCTTTGGAAACGCGGAACCGCGCACGAAATTCTTTATCGTCATATTTTTCGAAAGCGTTAAGCTTGATATCATTTCTTCGACTTCTTAAAGGCGTTTCGTTGTCCGAAAGAGAAGATAACGACGAAACGGACATATTTAAAACTGGAAAAATACTTTTAACAGATTTGAGAGTCCTCGCTACCACACTCAATAATAACGAGTACTTAAATCAATTTGACATTTGATTTGACAGCTAAAACGCGTTGAGTGATGTTTCAGTATACCATTTTTTAGTTGAGTAGTGTTTAAGCGCAACTCAATTTGAGACACACTTAAATTTAAGAGATACTTAAAATTTAAATATGAGAATACGAATATAGGGTTTAGGAGCTGCTCAAATGTTTGACAAGCCGTTAAATATTTGAGGGACGTTTCAGTATTCGGGCATAAGAGGCGCAGTTTCCTAAAGATGATCGTATTGTCATCTTAAAGTTTTTTAGCCCCGATTGATGCTTCAGTGCTATAGAAGTTAAAAAATAAAAAGAATATGTAGAATTTTTATTTCGGTGCAATAGTTGTCCAGGAACCTTAAGCTGACAGCTATGTCATCCTTAGGTTCTTAGCGTGTCATCTTTAGGTTATGCATACGTAACCCTAAGTAACTTTTTATTTTTTTAGGTGAATGAAGACGATGCCTCCCACAAAAATTCTGCAGTATGATGAAGAAGTTATGACAAAAGCCCTGGATGACGTGATGCGTGGGGTTCCTGTGTACGCGGTTGCTAAGAAGTACAAAATACCCCGCTCTACACTTCGGAGCAAGGTCAAAGGGATCAACCCAATATCAAGAAAAATGGGAGCCCGTACGGCTTTTACGGCCGATGAGGAACTGAAAATTGAGGAATGGGTCCTTGAATTAGCGAGAAAAGGATTTCCCGTTTCGAAAGGAACCTTTTTAATAAGCCTGCAAAGATTAGCCGCTCAATTAGGGAAGGACATTTTCCGTGATAGGGTTCCATCCAAAAAGTGGTATGGCAGTTTTATGAGTAGACACCCTCGGATTTCTAATCGCGTTGCCCAAAATTTAACAAAGAGCAGGAGCTCAATAACAAACGAACAATTAGACGGCTGGAAGAATGACGTTTATACGTATTTAGAGGGAAACGGATTGGCGAGCGTCTTGGATGACCCCAAACGCGTATTTAACGCTGATGAGACAGCATTTTTCTTGCAACCAAAAGCCGGAAAAGTTATGGCTGAACGCGGTTGTAAAAATATTTATCAAGCGGTTGGTAATGACGAGAAAGAGTGCATTACAGTTCTCTTTACGGGCAATGCTAATAGAGATCTTGCACCACCCTTGGTAGTCTTCCGTTATACACGTATTCCGCTCCATATCACCGTAAATGTGCCCACATCATGGGCTATAGGAAAAAGTGAGCAGGGATGGATGACCTGCGCAATTTTTTATGAGTACATTGGAAACCAGTTCATTCCATGGCTGGAAAAAGAAAAGATAGTGCGGCCAGTACTATTTTTTGTCGATGGCCACGTCTCCCATCTATCTATGGAGGTTAGTCAGCTTTGCAGCCAAAATGACATCGTTTTAGTGGCCTTATACCCCAACGCTACCCATTTGCTGCAACCGATGGACGTCTCCGTATTTCATACGCTGAAAGCTTCGTGGAAGGAGAAAGCTTTACAACATCGATTAAGCGGTGGTGAAGTGTCAAAAAGTAATTTTTGCGCCTTACTTGATCAACTTTTATTGGATGTGTATCGGCCAGAAATTTTGGCAAATGGGTTCAAAAAATGTGGGTTAGTGCCCTGGAACCCTTTGGAAGTCACTGTTAGGCCTGCTGCGCCACCGAAGGCAACTGAACCCAATACAGAAACTAATTTGTGCTGTCCTAATTGTATTCCGTGGCTGAAGACAGTAATCGGGGCAGAAAAAATTGCTTCTTTTAGTGGGAATAAAGATTCCATCCCTGTTACCGACCATTCCCTGTACGAGCTATGGAAGAAGGTGACAACAGGATTAGAAAAAAATACTGTGACTATTTTGGAAGCCTCTTTAGCAAATGCAGAGGATCCTGTTGAAGACGGAATGGAAATTCCTGCTCCTTTAGATCCTGTTGAAGATGGAATGGAAATTCCTGTCCCTTTAGAAGTTTCTGTTCCTTTAGATACTGTTGAAGACGGAATGGAAGTTCCTGCTCCTTTGGAAGTTTCTGCTCCTTTAGATCCTGTTGAAGATGGAATGGAAATTCCTGTCCCTTTAGAAGTTTCTGTTCCTTTAGATACTGTTGAAGACGGAATGGAAGTTCCTGCTCCTTTGGAAGTTTCTGATCCTTTAGAGGCTTCGGGAACTCCTATTCCTTCTACATCATCTTATATCCCGTCGCCTTTTAAAAGATGCCTTTTCTGGCCAAAGGAAAGTACGGTACCGAAAAAGAGAAGGTCGAAGGAAAAAATCTCTTCGGTGATTTCATCCCCTCAGTGGCAGGAGTATCACCAGAAAAAGTTAAATCTGAAGAAACAGAAAGATGAGGAGAAACAAAAACGATTGGCGGCTAGGCTTAAAAAGAGGCAAGAAAAAGAGGACGAGAAGTGCAAAAAAGCCGCGAGGCGCCTCTTTACCTCTTCTAGAAAAACTAAAGAAAGTGAAGATTCAGATGCTTCATCAAATGACGAAGCTGGGAGTTTGAAATCGTCGTCTGGAGGTGAATGGGATGAAAAAAGCTCAGGATCCTCCGATAATGAGCTGCAAGCCCCAAGGAAGGAGGTTGGGGAGTATGTTGCCGTAAGATACGAAAATAAGATTTTTCCTGGTAGGATAATCGTTGTCAAAGAAGATGGAGTCGTCGTGACTGCCATGGTGCGTCATGGGCGACTGTGGAAATGGCCTTAAAGGGAGGATCGGTTATTTTATGCTTGGGACGATGTTGTGGGCAAAATAAAAACGCCCACCAAATTTAGTTCAACTAGGGAGATTTATGATGTGCCCCAGGTTGCAAATCTTTAATTTCTTTATTCTAATTAAAATAAATGTGTTATTATTTTTGCTAATTTGGCTTTTTAATTTACACAGAAACCTATGTCATCTTTAGGTGCCGTCATTGTCATCTTTAGGAACCGAACGAATTTTGAATGTCATCTATAGGGGCCAATTGAGTGATTAAAAAAAATTAGTTCCATTACATCTATGTAAACGCAGGGCGCTGAAAACTTTCTAGCTGATAGACAAATACTCAAAGCCTGTTTGAGCACTAACAGTCATGAGAAATTCTGTAATTTGTGGTTTCCACGGTGCAAGATATAGAAAAAAATCCTTAATGTGTCATCTATAGGTGCCATTACCTTACTAACTGAAATTGTAAAAAATTCACTCTCATCATTTTTCTCAAACGCGCCAAAAGAAGTATAACTTCAAAACTTGAGTAAGCACTTAGCACACTCAGAACATTGTTTAAAACAAGTTGCAAGTTAGCTGCCTGCATACTTAACTCATTGTTTGACAGTGTACCTAACACAAAAAATCTGTAGCAGAGTATGCATTGCGTAAGTGTGCATATGCGGTGCAGCCTGGTGAAGCAGCTCAAGTGAAATTTAAGGGATAGCAATCCAAAACTAATTTAACAACCCAACTATATCCATTGCTTCATGTGATTGAAAAATTCGTTTACTCGACAACAAAAACCACGCAATGGATGTTGTTAAACTGTCAAATTATAATGGTTTGCCATTATAGGTGTTACGAAATTAGGCTATGGTGTAAATCTCTTAGGATATATAATAAAAATGCGTGTAATGAGACATATGTTTTTGACACAGAGAAATATCAAAGACTAGATTTGAAGGTATCAATGACCTAAGGAAAAGAGGTCTTTCATAGAGATATATTATATATGTGAGTATATATATTATACTTCGTTAATATCTCTAATTGTAAATAAAATATTTCGTTTCAATTTTTGAAATATTAATAATGATAAACTGATAAAATACATATAGGTACTTTATGTTGATCTTTTCTTTCACGTTTACGATAAAGTGCTTAAAATTATAAATAAGGGATCTACGTTTCATAATAGCCTTTATAGGCTAACTGACATTTCAGAAGGCGATCTTAAGCTAACTTACAGAAAAAAAAGTTAGGCGAATTTAGGCTACATTTTTAATTTTTGGCGACTCGGAACGGTCTAGACTTGGCAACACTGATGCCCAGTCCATATACTTCTAAGTCAGTGGTATAATTTACAGGAAGAGCAGTCCTTTTCATGAAAGAAGTCCCCCAGACGCAGCGCTGTACTCGCGTGACATAGTGTTGCCATTTATGAGTAAAAATTTACCTATTTTACATTTAGCATATGTAATCTATCAAATAATATTATTTCCTTCAGACTTCGATGAAACTATTAAATTGTATTAAGAAATAAATACATTTTAGATAGGCTGTAATTTCATTACTCAAGCCAATACTATAACAATAGTTCAGATTAGTGAAACATGTATATTTCTGATAAGTGAAATGTATATTTGGGCATTTTTATCAAAATGTCTACCGAACCACTCATGGGATGACTCATGCAATAAGTCCAATTAACTAACGTTATTATGACTATGTAAGTGTCGTGTTATTATTAAATAGTTTCAGTGTTTAGGTGAGAAACTAAAAACAAAGCAATAAAAGCCGACGATTTTTGGTCATGATCAGTACTGGGAAACGTGGGATGTCACATTTCCTAGTTTAAGTTTATTTAAACATAAATTTTGATAAAAATGTCCATTTACATAATTTACTATATTTCTGTTATGTAAAAAGTATATTTTTATTTACTTTTATAAGCGGTGTTCTACCTACTTACAGGGAAAAGATGAGAAAATAGGGTAAAGAAAAGCATTACAATTTTTTATTCAGAGTTTTATTGAATAATTGTGATCAGCGGCCATAGGAACATCACTGTCTGAAGAGTGGATGGAAACTGAATCAGATTCTGTTTCAGTATCACTAGCCGTAGATATAATTATTCGGTCCATTTCTTCATCCATAAGGCCGTCATTTTTTAAATATTCCTCCTCTAAATGTTCGACATGCGTGCACTGAGCCGCCGTAATAGACTCAAATGCCTCTACAGTTAATTTTACAATTTCTTTTGGATCTTGTGCCACATTCTTATCCGCCACCTTTCTTTTTACAAGGCTCCAGATTTTCTCCACCGGGTTGAGGTCGCAATGGTAAGGCGGCAACCTTAATACTTCGTGTCCGTGAGCTGTTAATAATTCATCCACTGCAAATGTTGGTGGACCTTTATTTTGTTTGATTAGCTCAAACAGCACAGCTTTTCTCCAGGTGTCTTCAAAATATATACCCTTTTGCCGGAGCCATTCCTGCATACTACTATTTATATTTGACATTGAAGGGGCTTTGTTTAATTGAATGCAATGGTAAGGAGCGTTGTCCATTACCACAAGCGACCTTTCAGGTAGATTAGGTATTAATTTTTCCGTCACCCATTTTAAGAAATTTGCAGAGTTCATGTCATCGTGGTAATCTGAGGACTTTGATTGGGATTTAAACATTAATAATGCACCATTTATGAATCCATCTTTTGTTCCCGCATGAGCGATTATCCAGCGACTCCCTGATGACTCTGAAACGAACATTCCTGGCTCCTCCTCACTCTGCCAACAACTTTTTGTATGATAAGTATTGTGTATATAGGTCTCATCTAAGTATACAACGGGTCGTTTTTCCACAGTGCGATTTATTCGTATTTTACCCAAATATCTTGCACGCCATGCGGTAATGTCGTGACGTTCCATAAGTAGTTTGCGTCTGGATTGACATCGCTTGTACTTGAAACCAATCCTATTTAATATCCTGTGCAATGTTGTGATGCTTCCCTGAAAATTGATGTCTTCTCTAAGAGCTGCTCGTAATTTAGCCAAAGTTGGTAATTCTTTATGCACAACGTAAAAACTGTGAATTTTTTGCCGGATAGCGCACAAATCGAACCCGTCTAAGTCGAACTTTTTCGGATGCGGGCGACTCTTCCCCGGGGTGACAATTTTTTTCGAAGTCCTCGCCGCTGTTATACCTTCTTTTGTAATTCTTGTTATAGTTTTCTCTGACACACCTGCAATTAAAGAATGAACAATTAAAAAAAATTGTCACTTTAAGTTTATAATGCTTATGTACTATGTAATATACGTTTTAATTTCGGTTACCTAATTTCATCACGTTATGTATTTGTTCAATTTTGTCGCAAAACGAATTTATATCATAAAGGTCCCATCAATACAGCAAAAAATTATTATATGGCAAGTAACTGTTATGGCGGCGACTCTCTTCCGAACATTGTTCAGTGGTATTAAAACACCTTGATTCTTTTGTTCAGCTTCACAGAATTCTTTCACCTTCAATATCATTTCTCGAGCCGAACTTTTTACAACTTTTGGCATTGTAAACAATCTTTAAAATGCACTAAGCTAGTTTAAAACTCACAAAAATCTACCACAACAAACGAACGAAACGTTGATAACATCAACGAACGACAACATAGCCGACCTGTCAAATTTAGTTCCAACAATCACCGCGGGACTTCTTTCATGAAAAGGACTTTATCTTTATCTTGATCATAGACTGTAGCCATGTTTAATTCTTTAGTTTTCTTTTTTTTTATACGTCACTTTCAATCATCAATTTCGAAGTTCTCTTCTTCCTCTTGTAAGCTTTCAGATTCAGTTACTTCAGATTTAAATCCAGATTTTTATAGCAGTTTGCTATTGTATTTTTGGTCACAGAAAACCAAGCTTTCCTAGCAAATTTCATCGCCTGAAGAACATTGATTGTCTTCTATAGATTTAAGAACATGATGAACAGCTCCTTTTCTGTAATAAATTTTGAAATTATTGACAATGTCTTGATCCATTGACTGCAAGTTACTTGCCTTATTAACAGGCAGATACACAAGTTTAATGTGGCTTAGTTCGGGCATATTATTATGAACTGTAGAATTGTCAACAAACATCAAAAAATTTCGCTTCTGGGCCTTCATTACTTGATTCAAATTCTTCATCCAATCGGCAAAAATAGTAGATGTCCTCCCAAGCTTTTTGATTATTTTGGTAATTCAAAGGTAAAGTTTTAACACCTTTGAAACATCTTAGTTTTCGATCTTCCGATTAATAGGATAGGGCAGCTTTTCAGTTCCTGACATGTTACCACCCAGAAGTATTGTTATGCGCTCTTTGCTAAGTTTTCCGCCATGACAGGACTCACCTTTTAACGCGAAAATTTTAACGGGGAGATAATTATAAAATTTTAACGGTGGTAGAGCCACGCAGCAGTTTTTGCTGTTGCACGTATGGGCCGGCTCGAGCCGGGTTGGTACCACGACCTCACAGAATACCGGCGTGAAGTAGAGGCTCTGCTTCTGCGTTTCGTCTGGTGAGTGCAGGTGGCCGGAGGCCCAATTCCCCCCCCCCCCCCCCCCCCCATCAACATGGTAGCGGAATTACACGATAGACTACCCCAGGAGGGTACCAGTACCCCTGGAGAAACCCTCGCAGAGCATCCACGACCATGTTATTCCAATCCTGAGCGTGGGTGCTCAGGCTGTCCCGCGTATTCGGGGGGGAGGGGGGGCAAAATTCCGCTCAAAAACATAACTGCTCGGGGCAAACTGAGCAACAATACCAAGGCGACCCCTGCCACGCTATCCGTGAATTTCTGTAACATCAGGGGACTTCACTCTAACCTAAACGCCGTCCACTACCATCTCGAGACGGCGAAGCCGGCCTTGCTCTTTCTGACCGAGACGCAGGTTTCCTCTCCGGCTGATATTTCGTATCTCTCCTGCCCGGGGTACAAACTGGAGCACTCCTTTGTGCCTCGGGCTGGAGTTTGCGTGTATGTCAGAGAGGACATCTGTTCTCGACGCCTCGGCAGTCTTGAAGGTTCAGACCTGTCCATCCTTTGGCTACGCGTAGACAGCGACGACCATCCGCGCGTCTACGGGTGCCTCTATAGGTCCCGTAGCGGAAATGCCGAAACAAACCGACTCATCGACCACGTCCAAATGGCTACAGATTCCTTGCTACAACAGGTCCCATCCGCAGAGATCGTGATCCTTGGCGAGTTTAACGCCCACCATGCCGAATGGCTCGGTTCACGTTTAACCGATCATGCGGGGAGATCTGTTTATGACTTTGCCTTGGCATATGGTCTGACACAACTGGTTACTTCGCCTACGCGTATTCCAGATGTGGAGGATCATACACCTTCCCTGTTGGACCTTCTGCTGACCTCTCATCCGGACGGATATCAGGTTTTCGTCGATGATCCCCTCTCGGATCTTCGGACCATTGTCTGATCCGGAGTGTGGTGCCACTCACGCTCCCTTCGCGGTTGCGTTATGCAGGTTGCCGCCGTGTTTGGCATTACAGGTCGGCGGATTGGGACGGAATGCGGTCTTTCTTTGCTTCCTACCCATGGGGGCGGGTTTGCTTCTCGCCGGATGATCCCAGCGCTGTTGCTGACTCTGTTACTGATGTGGTGCTACAGGGAATGGAACTATTTATTCCATCATCTGTGGTACCCATCGGAGGCAGATCTAAGCCTTGGTTTGGTCACTCCTGTAAGACTGCATTACGCAGTAAGCAGGAGTGTTATCAAGCCTGGGCTGCGGCTTCGGCGACTCGGGATGTAAACACCAGCACACTTAAAAAGAAGTATAACTTCGCCTCCAGGTCCTTCAAAAGAGTTATTGCCAAGGCAAAGTCAGAGCACATAGGCAGAATTGGCGAGAAACTAGTTCGCCTTCCTTCGGGAACCCGTGCATTCTGGTCTCTCGCCAAGGCTGTCCAAGGGAATTTCTGTAAGCCATCACTACCATCTCTGCACAGGGACGACGACTCACTGGTCCATGACGCAAAAGACAAAGCTGACCTTTTAGGCTCCCTTTTTGCGTCCAACTCGACTCTTGATGACGGGGGGAAAACACCGCCGACCATCCCGCGGTGTGAGTGCTCCATGCCGGATGTGCTGTTCTCACAGCGCTCGGTTCGCAAAGCACTTCTCTCCCTGGACATCCATAAGTCGAGTGGGCCTGACGGAATCCCCCCAATTGTGCTGAGGACGTGTACTCCGGAGTTGGCACCGGTCCTTACGCGTCTTTTCCGGTACTACTACTCGCAAGGCGTAGTCCCGAATTCATGGAAGACAGCTTTTGTCCACCCGATGCCTAAAAAAGGCGACCGCTCAGACCCGTCCAACTATAGGCCTATTGCGATCACCTCCTTGTTCTCCAAAATAATGGAATCCATTATTAACTGCCAGCTCATCCAGTACCTTGAGGATCACCAGCTGATTAGTGACCGCCAATACGGTTTTCGTCGGGGTCGATCAGCTGGTGATCTTCTGGTCTACCTGACCCATAGATGGGCGGAGGCAGTAGAATCCAAGGTGGAGGCGTTGGCCGTTAGTCTGGACATTGCGAAGGCCTTCGATCGGGTTTGGCACAAAGCGTTTCTTTCGAAGCTCCCTTCCTATGGGCTTCCCGAGAAATTGTGCAATTGGATCACCAGCTTCCTTGCAGATCGGTGCATCAAGGTCGTTGTAGACGGTGCATGTTCTGACTACAAGCCTATTAACGCTGGTGTTCCACAAGGCTGTGTGCTATCACCAACGCTGTTTCTTCTGCATATCAATGATATGTTGCTAACTGGTAACATTCATTGCTATGCGGATGACAGCATTGGTGATGCTCTATACACCGGCCGTGCCAATTTTTCTCGGGAAAACGTCACCGAGTACCGGAACAAACTTGTGTCTGAAGTCGAGTCTTTGCTGAACAAAGTCTCGGATTGGGGGCGACTAAATCTTGTCCAGTTTAATCCTCAGAAGACACAAGTTTGCGCGTTTACCGCTAAAAAGAACCCCTTTGTCGTATCTCCTCAGTTTCAAGGCACTCCCTTTCTTGCCTCAGCCAGTATCAGTATCCTCGGAGTCGACATATCGAGTGACGTGCAGTTTCGTGGTCACTTGGAACAGAAGGCCAAATTGGCCTCTAAAAAGCTTGGCGTGCTTAACAGAGCGGGACAGTATTTCATGCCGGCACACCGCCTGCAACTTTACAAGGCGCAGGTTCGGCATCACATGGAATACTGTTCCCATCTCTGGGCAGGGGCTCCCCAGTGCCAGCTCCTTCCACTTGACCGCATCCAGCGCAGAGCGGCTCGAATCGTCGACGACCGAGCCTTTTCCGATCGGCTCGATTCATTGGCACTGCGAAGAGATGTTGCATCCCTTTGCATTTTCTTTCGCATCTACCATGGGGAGTGCTCTGAGGAATTGTTCGGATTAATCCCAGCCGCCAAATTTCACGAACGCATATCGCGGCAGAACTCCCGATACCATCCACACCATCTGGATGATTGGCGGTCCACCACTGTGCGATCTAGAAGATGTTTTCTTCCTCGCACGACTTCCTTGTGGAATCGATTACCACCAGCGATTTTTCCGGATCGATACGACTTAGGGACTTTCAAGAAAAGAGCGTAATCCTTTTTAAAAGGCCGGCAACGCATCTGCAATTCCCTCCCTGGTGTTGCAGTTGTTCATGGGCGGCGGTAGTCACTTACCATCAGGTGAGCCGCATGCTCGTTTGCCCCCCTCCTATAAAAAAAAAATAAAGCCGCTTCGTCGGCGTTAAAAATATCATCAGGAGAATAATTGAGCAGAAGAACTGTGAGGTCCTCAATCCATTGACTAAATTTGCTAACATCAACAGCGTTACTTTACTACCAAAAATTGCTTTGAAAGCTATACCATTTATTTTTTTAAACCCTTCCAACCAACCATTACGGCCACAAAAATTATGAATGCTGAGCCTTCGTGCAAAATCTTGTGCTTTTCCTCATCGGTCTACTTATCGGAACGTTTTTGTTACGAAGTTGCTTGACCTATGTTAACAAACACTGTTCAAGTTCAGGATATTCTGATAAAGGTACACGTTTTAGTTTTCCTTGTCCTTCAGAACATTGAGACTAAATTTCATCTTTATTCTGTATGATTCTACAAAGAGTAGATTTTGGCACATTAAATTCGACACAGACTTCATCGCGTGTATTTTCACTTTCATAAACGTATATTAAATTTGTTTTTAACATACTGATAGACTTAAGCCTTCGTTTTAGCATTTTTAAATAAACATCCGGACGATAGCTAAACCAAACTAAAACTGGAGGTCACTTTTACACAATTAGCCAAGTGCGGAATTTGCTGGTACAATAATAATCCGAGTGGTAGTTCGGAGCTATTTTATATATACTGCTTTAACTTCGGAACTTTTTAGCGCGATTCAGGCTTCGATGCAATTCGCTTGTGGCGCGACGATAGCGCCGCCACATCGCCTCCCTGCTCAGATCGTAGGTCGAAAGTGCAGTCCGATTGCCGGTGCGTTCTTAATGCCGATGTGTAATGCATGCCGTACTACGCACTTGCAAGTGATGCCGGTGAGAACGATGAGCCGGAGCAAGTGGCAGAAATCTGCCTTATAAATCTGCGGTGAGTCGAGATGAAGACAAGTTGGACTGGCTTGCAGGAGCTGAAGACTGCAGAAAAGAGAAGAGTCATGCGTTTTTATTCATCGTGTAGGTATGTTTATTATTCTCATGTATTCAGTTATGTACCTATTCAGATTAGTTCAGTACTAAGTTATGAAACAGCTTACCGCTCTAAATCCTCCGTGGTCTTATGAGATGCGGCTCAAATTGTGCTCCATTCATTTCAAGGCAGATTTGGGCTCGGTGTTGCGTCTCCTCATGCAGGCTGGGCATCATCGTGTGGTCTTCGACACAGTCCATACGTAGTTTGTCGAAAACATCCACGATCCTTTGGCGCATTTCGTCAGCACTATCACACTCACGATTAAAAACCCTTTCTTTCACATACCCCCACAGAAAGAAGTCCAACGGGGTCAGATCTGGTGAGCGAGGTGGCTCAGCGTGTGGTCCTAGTCTGCCGATCCAGCAATCATCAAATAGCTCATTGAGG